CATGGTAAGAAGCCAGATGTGAGGTCCCATTTCTTGCAAACATATTAAAGGCGGAACACTACCGTCCATCTCTATACCTCTGTAGAGACTATGTGATGGGAAACTAAATCTGCCACCATGGTTCCCTACTGTTGCTCCTGCAGGGTGCTGCTCTGCTTATCAGTTCATCATTATATAGTGAGCTGCTCAGGTCAGCTTTCAGTTTGGTATTGCTGATACAAATATTTGGCAGGGTAGGCCTTTGTGGTAGGATTTAAAGAATTCAAAAAGGCTCCTGGCCCAAATATATCTCCCTCAATGGTCACAGTGCCTGAAATGCATACATGAGATACTTCACTTGAACTTTCTCTTTTTGGTGTAATGCAACATTCAAATGTGAATGGCACTCTCCAGAGGGAAAATAGTTAAGTTATTATCGGCTATTAATACTTAGAGGCAGAACTGCATTGGAATCCTTCTGTTCCTAGCTATATGCATTTTGGCAGCTTGCTGTAATTCTCTCTGGGCCAGTTTTCTCTTCTGTAAAAATGGGGTTAGTAACAGATACTTGTGGGATCAAATGAAATAATGCATGTAAAACATACAGTAAATGCTCAATGAACAGTAGGTGTTATTAGTCTTACAGAGAGTAGGACTACGAGGGAATATATTTGGGACTAGTAAATTTGGTTTGTCACGTATAAGGTGAAGTCTGGTACAGGGGTTTGCTTGGAGCAAAGGCCCTGGTGGAATAGTGATATAGCCAGAGAGTAGTGTGGTGATTCTGGGGGCCTGGGTTTGGAAGAGGAGGGTGGAAGGAAGAAGAAGGACTGAAGCAGGGTCACACTATACTTATGTTAACTTTCCAACAAGAAAAGTGTAGTCTCACTCAGGCTAGGATGTTTTGTGAAGTAGTGAGCTCTGACAATGGAAGTGTTCAAGCAGACGCTGGATGCTAGCTACCTGTCAGGAATACACTAGTCTACCCTAGGGCTCCTCAAATATATGTAAATGCAGATTCCCCTGGGGATCACGTTAAAAGGCAGGTTCCGAGTCAGTTGGTCTGGTTGGAACCTGTGATTCTGCATTTCTAACCAGCTTGCTGATGATGCTGATGCTCCTGATCAACGGACCTCAGTATTGGTAGCAAGGCTCTGTTGTAATTAGAAAATAACTCATAGTGAGATAGAGGAATATGGTTGGGGAAAGCCAGTGGGTTACCCAGGCAAGTCTCCATGGAGTGGAAGGACTTCGTTGCAGTCACGATCTACAATCTGGTTCTTAGCTTTGTAAACCTTGAAATTTGATTGGTAGTATAACCAGAGACTGGGCTCCTGGGGACTGACTCACACTTAACCAAATTCACAAGAGACCAATATATAAACCAGAATGCCAGTTGATTAATTTATAATGAGAAGTATAACTTCCAAGTGGACCAGATACTAGTGTTTGCTAATCAGCGCATTATCTCCCTGTAGACATATTTACATGACGAGCTAACTGATAATAAATAGGGTTGCTTGGTGAGGATGAACTCAGAGCAAGGGGAGTTCATAGGATGATTTTAATGACTACATTATCAAGCTATGACAGTCTGATGCCTCCATTCCACAATGGAGGTATCAGACTAGTTCTGCAGGTATTGGCCTCCTCACTAGTCTCTGTTTCACCAGTTTTGTCCTCATACAATCCAGATGTTCTCTTCAAGTTCAAATCTGATCATATCATTCATTTGCTCCATTCACTTCAATATAAAGTCACAAGTTTAAACTCATTATTACAAAATGTTTAAAATACTGTATACAGAAAAGTTGAAAAAAAAAAGTACAATGAGCACCCATATGCCCACTATCTAGATTTTTCACTTGTTATCATTTTGTCATATTTGCTTCATGCATGTGTATATACATGTGCATGCATATGGAGTCCATACTCTTTAATAACATTTTCTAAACTCTTCGTGTTCTGGCACAACTTATTGACTACCTTCACTTCCCTTGTCTCCTCCTTTGCAACCTTGCATCCCAAGCATACCGAACTACTGAATGGTAGTTCCCTGAATGTTCTTTGGAGTTCTCATATAATATACTCTTGCTTATGCCTGAAAATCCTTACTCTTTTTGCTTGGATCACTCCATTTGTTCTTTAAGACTCAGCCACACCCATGTTGCTCTAGCGCCTTATACTTTTCTTAGTCGTAACATGTATTACACTGTACTGTTATTGATAGTTTATCTCTCTGACTGTCTCACTAGACCATGAGCTCATTGAGGGCAGGGACTATTTCTTTTGTTTCTTTACACCCCTCCCCGGCTTTGCACTTAATAGATGTTCGGTAATCAGAAACTCAACTGCCTAGCATAGCGTTCTACCTGGTTACATCACAGGCACCTCAAAATCAACATATCTAAAGTGAACTCATCTCTTCCGTCTACCCATTCTATACATTTAAAACCCTCCTCCTGTATTCCCTGATTGAATGCCATCTAGTCTTCCAAGACAAAAACCTCAGAGCAATTTCTACCTCCTCTTTTTCTTTCACCCCCAAACCAAGTTGATTGGGGATGAATCCTGTTGATTCTACCTTCAAAGAACATTCCCATTCTGCTCACTTTTCTGCATGTCCACTACCTGTATATCCAAGCCACCTTCATCTCTGACCTATAGCACTGACAACCATCTTTTATATGGGCTCCCTGCTGCTATTCTTAGAACCTCCAATCTATTTTTCACAGAGAAGGCATAATGATCTCTAAACTTCAGATCTGATTCTATTACTCTCTGCTTAAATCCTGATTATATTACTCCTTGTTTTGGGATAAAGTCTTAACTCCCTAGCTTTACCCAAAGGACTCTCAAGAACTGACCCTGACGTGCCTCTCCAACCTGATTTGTTACTACCCTCCCTCTGTTACTTTAGTTTCCAACCATTTTGCATTTACTGGGCCTGTAGTAATTGTAGCTTCCTAACATTTTCTGTTTCATATTTCAATGCCTTTACTTGTGTTGTTTTCTGCCTAGAAAAGTTAACCCCCTCAAACTCAGCCCAGGTGTAACCTCCTCTGGGAAGCTTTTCCTTACTTCCCAGTCTTGGTTGGGTATTTCTCTGTTATCCACTACTGCCCTTTCACATCTCTATCATAGTGCTTACACTGTATATATATATATATCACTCTCTACTGCACTTATCATTTTACTTGTCCTTCTCATCAAAGCTAATTTATGAGCTTCTTGTTAGGAAACTTGATGTACAATGTTAAGTCCATGGCTTATGGCAGATGTACAACAAATATTCAAGAAAATAATGAATGGATAAACATTAACAAATGTCTCTCTGAACTTCATTTTTGTAGATGTAAAATACCCCCTTTCTTTTGAACACATTATTTCTTCAAAGTACAATATAGTTGGCTGTCATTCAAGTAATATTGATTGAATTCTCAATGTTCTTTACCAGCAAAATCAGACAGTTTCCGGATTTGTACCATTTCTTAGAGGTGGTTGGTCCTAGCCATTTTTTCACCTAGGTAACTTTTATCTCAGAGATTATCATCTGTATTTGGGGGTACCGTGCTATTGGTCCCATATACCCACCTTGACCTCTAAAGTCACTTTTAATACCTAGAGTATATGTTTCACAAAATTGTCCATTTATTTATGTTCTAGGTGCTGTTTGGTATATGACGCTAATTTTCCTCTAGGTTTCTCTCAAGCTATAAGAGCATCAAGTACAGAATTGTTCCATGCTTAGTCTTAGGAGATAATGTTGATTAAGTAAATGCTGAGCTAGGGATTGAGGGGCATAACTGATCAGAAATTTAACAAATGTTGAGCTGCATAAAGTAGATTATATTTCTTTGAACTGAAAAAGTGGCTAAGACTGAACATCTTGAACATCATTTTCTCTGATATTACCTCTAATTAACAACTTTAAGATTATTTTAGAATTGTATCCGTGAGCCCGTTTAATAATCTTATTTCACATGTAATTTTTATATATTGCTAAGCATTGTTCTAAGTGCTTTACAGGTATTAACTCATTTAATCATCTGAACACTCCATAAGGTAGGTGCTATTATTATCCCCCTTTTACAGATGATGAGGAAACTGAGCCACAGAGAAGTTCCCCAAGGTCAAAAGTTATTCGTAACTATCAGACACCAGGTGTATGAATTCAGCTTAATTCAAGACTCATTTGTTAACCATCTAATAAATGTAATAGTTGACAGGGTAGACAAAAATTGTATACTTAAGCAAGGATAAATCATAATGTAATAGTGCCATGAGTGAATCATCTAGGCGAGTCAGGCTCCTTTCAGTTAGTGGGAAATGGAGAAAGATAATGTAGTTAAGGTCATGAACAGCACAGGAATATTTGCTTGGGTAAGTCAGGTTTGTGGAAAATACAGAAAAAAAGGCTTGGTTCTGAGGTGTGTGAAAACAGTTATTCTTTTGTGAGGACTAAGATTACTTTTAGAAGGGGCATCTGATGCAGTACATTAAACCTGGGGGAATGGTAAGGAATATACATGTATGAGGCTTCTTAGGATCAGGGAAAGAGAAAGGTGCCATATGAAGTCAGAAGGAACCGGTAGCAATGCGCTTTTCCTGCCTTTCTCTCCACCCTTCCCCCCTCCCTCCAGAGAATCTGTAAATAGCATGATTCTACCCAAATTCCTTCCCTACCCAAATTCCCTTGAGTACAACTCAGACCCTTTGGATCTGCGCTTTTTAGAAGTACTGTACTTTCACATTCTGGCACTGTAAGCCCGAAACGTCCTTTAGGCAAATGTTAGGAGTGTAAAATGTATTCTTACAATTCAAAACCGACTCGAATCCTACCAGAAAGCATTATATTTGCGGACTTTATCGTACCTCGCCTGTCCGTTTTTTATAAAACTCCGCGACACACCTGCCTACACAGCCTCAGATCCTATTCTAACATCGGTCCATCCTGTTACCCTTTTAAGAGGCGGATCCCGCAGTGTCCTTTCCTCCCTCCCAGCCACCTCTACCCCCCAGTCAGCTGGGCGGAGCTTCATGCTAAAGCCCCAGAGCCCGACGCGGCCGCAGCGGTAGCGGAGACAGCTGAAGCTCAGAGGAGCTGCGTCTGCGGCAACCTGTCTGCTGACGCTACGTGCCTCCTGGCTCCGACCTAGCTCGCAGCTCACAGTCTCACTCCGTTCCTTCCCTACCTGGCTCGTACCTGCTCAAGGCCAGGGTCCTGCCAAGCGCTAGGAGGGCGAGTGCCAGGGGCACTAGGGAGCTGCGGAGCGCACGCGCGCCATGGGGCCACCGCCTGGGGCCGGGGTCTCCTGCCGCGTTGGCTGTGGCTCTTCCCGATTGCTGGCGTGGTGCTTCCTGCTGGCCCTAAGTCCGCAGGCCCCCGGCTCCCGGGGGGCCGAAGCAGTGTGGACCGCCTACCTCAACGTGTCCTGGCGGGTTCCGCACACCGGAGTGAACCGTACGGTGTGGGAGCTGAGTGAGGAGGGCGTGTACGGCCAGGACTCGCCGCTGGAGCCTGTGGCTGGGGTCCTGGTACCGCCCGACGGACCCGGGGCGCTCAACGCCTGTAACCCGCACACGAATTTCACGGTGCCCACGGTTTGGGGAAGCACCGTGCAAGTCTCTTGGTTGGCCCTCATCCAACGCGGCGGGGGCTGCACCTTCGCAGACAAGATTCATCTGGCTTATGAGAGAGGGGCGTCTGGAGCCGTCATCTTTAACTTCCCGGGGACCCGCAATGAGGTCATCCCCATGTCTCACCCCGGTGAGTGCAGCTACTAGATTGCACCCTTCCAGACCTCTGCCGTGGCCAGTTTTTCTTATTTTCCTCATTGCCCTCCTCGACCTATCCCCTTGCTCCCAAGGAAAGTGGGTGATCTTTCTGTCCCCACAGAGTGGGGCAGGGTCCTCCCCAAGATTCACCAGGCGTGGGGGTTGGGCGGGAAAATATCCCTCATTTGCCTCTCTGGTGGAAAAGGGTAAGACAAACCGGGTGCAGAGGCTGGCAAATCAAGGACTGTTTGGGCTCTTTGCGTTCCTTTTTCCTGGTGTTTCACAAGGGTGTCTAGCCTTGGATTAAGTGGTGGTGGGCACGGGCTCTTAAATAACCGAGGAGAAGATCACCTAGAAATCTCTTCCTCACTCTGCTGTTTAGCAACCTCGGACTGACAGCAGATTTTCCCCTCCTCTCCCTATTTTTCTCTCCATGTTTCCTGGGTATCAAATACTAGATTGTGTTACTGTGCCTTCTTAACCTCATTGCAATTTTGGTGGAAACTTTGCTTAGTTCTTGGGTTCTTCTCTGACCAGTGGTCTCAAGTCCCAAATGACTGTTGATATCAATGCTTTTGTTTGCTTCTGAAAAATCTGATTTAGGTTATTGAGTTACAAAAGAGGTGACTAATGTTCTTGAAAAAGAGGTTTCTGTATGAGGATAGCAAAGGCCTAGACTTTGTAAGAAAAATAGTCCAGGTAGTTCTTAAATTCATGGAGCTGGTGTGGGGATACTATTTTTCCCCCTTCGGTTATCCTTCCATAAACCTCCCTATTTGTGATTAGGTATCCATGCCTTGTGTACATAGCTATCCTAGACCCTAGACAAACGGGGGAAGATGGAGAAAAAAGGAAGAGACACGTGTAATAGCAGTGTATCACAGTTTTTAAAAGCTGGGCCTCAAGTAAGAGCTTGGTTCAAATTCCTAATCTGTTGCTTCCTAGTCCTGTGACCTTGGGCAACTTATTTGAAGTCTTAGAGTCTGGGTTCTCAGTCAAATGAGAATAAATAATAAGAAAACTTCTACACAAGTTTGCCTTCAGGATGAAATAATGCCTTAAAGAGTTTTAGCACAGTAAAGCAAACCATCCAGTCTCTGTAAGGGTTAGCTGATAGCATTAGCCTTCTAGGAGTCACTGGAAAGGTGAAGCTGCTTATTTGACTGCTGGAGATTTTGTTTTTCTTAAAATCTTATGACTGACCCTGCCTAGAGACCACTTGTATTGAATGGCTGGATTGCCTAATGGAAAGAGCACTGAATTGGAACTCAGAAGATCTGAGTTCTTTTAGCCCCTTCTTTGCCTCGACCAACTTTGTAACCTTGTACAAGTTACTCACATGTCAAATGGTTGTATAGGCGGTGGAGGCCAAGTTAGCAGCGTGTACCAAAACAAAACAAAACTAGATGAACCCTAAGATCCCTTTCAGATCTAAAATGCTATGATTTTTAGATTTTATATTGATTAAAGAAGAAACTGTATCTCTGTTGGCCAATAATTCATTGATTAGAATGAATCAGTAGCTTTTAGAAGCTACTGAAAATCAAGACTGAAGACTTAACAAAGTTTATAGTCTTTATATTTCAGTTGACGGTATAATAGCAAGAGCTGACTTTGTCTTCTAATGAGATTCATTTGCCTTAATGATTTGTAATTGAAGAGTATTTAATTAGAAAGTTCTACTTAGACCATTTTCCTTTTACTTCTGTTAAGGGTATTTATCTGATAGTTTTAGAAGACAATAAAATTAACTTTTGCTGAGTTCCCACTATGTGCCAGGCATTCTACATGCATATTAATTAAACTTTATTGAGAGGCAATATGGTATACTAAGAGAAACACAGGCATTTTAGTCAAGATTGGGAATAAAATTCTGGATTTACCACACAATAGCTTTGTGTCCTTGGTCAGATTATTTAACTTTACTGAGCCTCTGATTCCCCATCTGTAAAATGGAGGTAGTATTTACGTTGCTGTGATTATTAAGGATAATATATGTATACTACCCAGCTGATAATAGTCACTGAATGTTATAATAGGTTAATGCTAACAGGATGGAAAAAATTAATGTACAAATGTACGATTGTGCAACTGTCGATTTGAAGGCATGAATATACTGGAAATCTAATTATGGCTGTTGTCTTTCAGGACACCATATAGGAATAAAGGCCTAAATATTGATCACTAAATTATACTACGTTCAGAAAAGTATTTTGATACTTTAAAAACAATATTATCTGAGATAATGGCTATAGCAAGTTTGCCATCAAGCTAGCTAGCCAAAACTAGCAAATTACTTGAGGTAAGGAATCACAGTTCTCCTTGAACTCCTGGAAAAACTAATTTTCAATATAGGGAGGAAATCACTTTGCATTTTATCCACATGTGTTATTGAATATTTGTTTGCAAAGCGTTATATTGTTTGCTTTACTCATTCCTCAGAGTAAGCCTAGAGTTTCCTTTTAAACTCTGGTCGAAAACTTATCTTGGATCATAGTGTCAGAGAGATAGGACTGAGATTTAAGTATGGATTAATTAATTATATATTGCCACAAATTACAAAGGAACCATCAAATATGGAAAAGTCTTCCATATCTTCTGTGTTTACAAAATCTCCCTTCTCTTACTCTCATGAGGGGCTGCACTTGAATTGTTTGCCCTTTGTTAGAGTTCGTGCTAAGTGTCTACACTCTCACCTATCTGATTTAGAACAGTTGCTTTAAAATTTTTGTTTAGGAGAAAGAAACCCCACTATATGACAGCAATCAATTAGGAAAATTAGACTTTTATGTATACCAAAATTTTACAAAAGGTAATTGTAGCCTAGCATCAACTCATGCAGATTATTTCTGTAATTTATTTTGTTTGCAGAGTATTCAGAAAATTCTGATTCACACAGATAAATAATTGCAAATGACAGATGCTCATTAGCAGTTTGCCTTGTAGTCTCTGAATATATTTCAGTCAAATCAGTGCAGAAACCTTAAAGGAAATTAGGAGAAAATTTTTCTTCCAAAGTTTAATTACTATTCACATTTCTTATCTTAAAAATCAAAATCAGATAAGAAGCGGCCAAATTATAAAGTAACCTTTAAAACTATCTAAAATATAAGATTGTCACAATGAGACATGTTAAGCACGTTCTCACTATTGCACAACAAACGGTTCTGCTTTCACCAGGCAGGTGGGCCTGAACCTTGCCTGCTGTCCAGTTGAGCACAACCCACAGGTTGAAGAGGTGTGTATACTTGCTTGTACAAGTTTCCTTGAGACAACATTATAGGCATGAATTTATTGAAAAACCCGTGCAGAGCTACAACCTTCATAATTCATGAAATGTTTACGAGAACTTGAAACATATGCAAAGGGATGGCAGGAGAAACATTATTCCTGAGGGCAGTAAAAAGTGAATGAACTAAGCAGTGTAAGTTAATGATTTGGGGATCTCCAATGGGATACAGCTTGATATATAACACAGCGGCTTGTGTACATTGTTGAAAGACAGTGGAACAGATTAGTTAAGGGGTTGAGCTCTGCCACTTATTATTGTTTAAATCTTAGGCCAGTTATTTTACTTCTCTAAGTCTCAGTTTTCTCCTATGTAAGGTAGGCATAAGAAAAAACTTGCCTCCTAAGGTTACTGGGATTAAATGAGATAATGCAGATAAAGTGTTTAGCACAGTGTCTGACATGTAGGAAGCTACTATTATATTTTAATCACAGTTTAGATAGTTAAATATGTTTTAGAAAATTAAAGTTTAATCCAGTGTTTGTAGATCATAATTGGAAATGAACAGTCTAGAGTACTTCAAAGGCCACATTACCTGAAATTCTAATTTGATCCCTTTAGGTATGGAGGGTAGACTGAATTTTTACAAGAAAACGATATTTTGGTCTTCCTATGTTTATTCTACTTTTCTCAAATAACTGCTTCTCTCTCCTGCTGCCAATCTTCTGTTCACAGAGGACCTTGGAATAGTATGTTTTACTACTTAATCACCACTTCAATCTCTTCTCAACCCTTTAATATTTAAGTTTTATTCTATTTTTTCCAGGATGTTGACTTCGAAAACAAACTGTTTTTTTAGTAGAGGAGTTCAAAGAGATTGGCCAGTGATGATTAACCAATGTAAAATACCATTCCCAAAGCCATTTTCAGATGTAACCTCCTTGGTATCTCTTGGTATTTTGTTCATGCATCTGACACTTCTTCTCCCTTGCATCCCAGACTCCCAGTATTCCTCTTCCAGTAAATAGCTGCCACATCCTGTTGATTCTGGCACTTCAAACATTCTCACATATGTCTCCTTCTTCCTTGCTTTTATTACCCTGCTTTCAGTTCCTGTATCTTCTCATGGGAAAAAGTACTTAGCCTCTTGATTGGTCTCCTTGCTTCCAGTATTTTTTTTTCCTTGTATGCAGTTCTTCCTCCATGCCGTCAGAACACAGCTCACATATATGCTATTACTTATAAATTTTAGACTACGTTTCTCAGCATGACATATAAGACTCCTAGTAATCTGATCCAAAATTACATTCAAAGCTTTATATGCCTCTTCTTTCATGTTGGTCGCTAAACATTCTCTATTCTTTTCCACTAAAATTCCTTTGCTTCTGCTATTACCAACAGACCCCTTTTTTCTTAGCTGTGCTGGTCAAAAATGTATGCATCCTTCAAAATACAGCACAAATGCCTCCTCATCTTTAAAGCCTTTCTTAATTCTTTCTTTTCCTCTTCCCAGCACAGCCCACACCCAAAACAAAGTACAGTAACCTCATTTTGTTCAAATAGCACTTTCTCTTTCATAATACCTTCTGTATTTTGCTGGTAGTTATTTGTTTACATATTTTACCTTCTACTGGATTATAACAATTTTAATATTTTGTTAATCTTTGTAATCCCTATAGAAACGTTTGTACTATCCATGCTCTAGAAATGCTTGTTGAATTGCCTTAAACACCCAAGAACTCTAATGCTGGAAGGATCACAAG